ATCTCCATTGTGTAAAAATACAATTCCCTTATTCATTTACCTGTTGGTAGACATATCTGCTGTTTCCAAGATCTAGCTGTTATAAATTATGTTGCTATAAGCATACGGGCAAATATATCCCGATAATATGATTATTTTAACCCTTTTTCAAAGATGCCTAGAAGGAAGATAGCTGGGTCAAATGGAATTTCTATTTTTAGCTTTTGGAGGAATCTCCACACTAATTTCCATCGTGGTTGTACTAGTTTACATTCCCACCATATTTCTGTTCAGAAATAGGGAAACCAAAGAATTAGTAGACCTGCTGGCAATCACAAAACAAGCTTATAGTAAAAATGAGTGCTCACTCCTGATCCCTCCAATTTCTTTATCAAAAGTGGTCATATATAACATTAAAAAAAAAAGAGAAAGCATATAGTCATGAATAGATTTTCACGTTACCTACATTGAATGGAGCATTTAAACTAGATGGATGGTAAAACCACAGAACTAATATTTTAGTTTCCTAAGATTGTGCATTAAATTTCATAATGAAATAAAACAAGCTATGTAATAGGACATTGTATTCACTATTACTTCAAGGTACACCCAGAAAAGGGTATTCACCAAAGTGACTATGCTTCAAAAGTTCATGGGAATCAAGGAAACTGTCATCCAAAAAAAAAAAAAAAAAAAAAGACATCATCATTTCATAAAATGTCAAATCCTATGTGTGTTTATAAGTTTAATTAAAAGTGAAAATCTTAGATACTTTTCTCAAGTAAGAATTTGTGTATCTCAATCAGATTATGTTTTCTTTTATAAAAGTATTTAAGGAATTTCATTAGCTTTAGTCCTTTTTCATTGGATTATTTTCCCTTTTGGAATATCACACAATGATCTCTGCTTCGAGGGTTTACTAATATGATATTAATACAATATTGTTCCAGAAATGGAACGACAGGAAAATCACAAGAATAAATCAAAGACTATTTGTTTAGACAACTGATATTTATTTGTAACAACTGTGTTTCAGAACCTGAAAACAACTCCATTTTGCATTTTTCTAACAATTTAGTGATGAAAAATAGAAAATAAGAATAAGTTCTTTTGAAGGGAGAAAAGCACTGGTTTGGGCCCATGGCCTATACATTGAGTTACATTTCCAGCCCTTTATAAAATTATTTATTTATTTTGCCATTTTGAGACAGGGTCACACTATGCAGTCAGCCTGGCTTTGAGCTCCCTTTGTAATCCAGGCTCATCTCTAACTCCCAACAATCCTACTGCCTCAGCCTCCTGAGTGCTGGGACTACAGGTATACACCACCACGCCCAGTGTTCCATCCCTTTTTAAAAATTTTATTTGACACAAGGGTCTGGCTAAGTTACTAAATTTCTCAGGCTGGGCTTAAACTTGCAACCCTCCTACCTCAGACTCTCAGAATACTGAGATTACAGGCATGTATCAACATACCTGGCTTAAAAAATAACGTATGCCAGAGAACTTTGATGACTGAGATACAGGCTGTCTGACTGGTAATATAACCAAAGAATGCACAATAAATGTCAGTGTTTCATAGAGAAGAATAAAGGGTTACTTTTCTCCATCTAGGCTGTTAATTTCTACTGAAATTATCTTTTTCTGGGTGTTCAGATTAATGTATTATCATTATTTTAAATACAACATAAATCATGGAAGTGAGGGTAAGGTATTATTGCTTATCTGTGGCTCACATTTGAGGGTCTGGTGACCATGAAATAATTCACTGATGCTGATAGGGTTAGATAATGACTTAGTAGAATTTAGAAGTATGATGTTTACAAATGGTCAAAAGATTTTTCTGCACTAGTGTTTTTTCTTCAGTAAAAGTAGTCCTTACTTTTTAAGTGCCTCCCTCCTTATATTGTTGTATCTAAATGTACACACCATGCATTTATGAAATTCAATGCTTCTGAGGGAAGTACCAAATGTAGGAGAAATGACCAATATGGGCACTCTGGGAATAGTAATGAAGGATTCCCACAGCCCCTATGTAAGATTTGTGGGCATGGGCCAGTGGCGCAATGGATAACACGTCTGACTACGGATCAGAAGATCCTATGTAAGATTTGTGGGTGTAGGCATGAAGCCAGCATATCTCACTAAGGGCTAACCCTAAGGTTCGGGTTTCCAGGGATCTCTCTAGTTCCAATAAATTAGGGTACCATGTTACTTATTAACAAGCTTACACACACCAAGTAAAGGTACTTACATGTAAAAGCTAAATGAACTCTTCATCCTGGAATCACAGCAAATTCAGAAGTGGGAATGTGTTAGGAACTTTTCACCCTGAGCAGCCTGATAGCATTATTGGAGACAGAATTTCTAGCTGAAAGAAATGTGCGATATTAGCATTTTGATTAGTTACTTGAAGGTTTTTAATTTTTTATGGGTCGACTATGAAGTATTTATCTTTTCATTGATTAAAGACAGTTATATAATTTTTGTCCTCTGCACAATGCTTCTAGTCATTATAGTAACCATTATTTTTAATTTCTTCCTAACAGTTTATAAAATTCTTTATCTTATTTTTTTAAATTTTTTTTATGTAGAGTGTTTGTTTGTTAAGACAAGGAGTTTCACTATGTTGCCCAGGCAGGCCTGAGAGTACTGGATTCACATGTTCTGAGTTTTACTTTTTTTTTTTTTTTTTTTTTTTTTTTTTTGTACTGGGGATTGAACTCTGGACTTGCCAGACAACTGAGCTATCTCCCTGGCCCCTATACTGTTTTTTATTTTTTATGTCTTTCACTCTCCCTGTATCAGAAATTTAGCACAATTCTTAATCTCCTTTAAATTAGGTTTATATTTATTTTCATTTCATAATAAATCCTTTGCATATTTTTTTAAGGACAAATGGCCCTACAGATTACTTCTTTTCCCAATTTGAATAGGTGATTTAAGAGTATCAAGACAAGTAATTAAGAAGTTTATGTAATAAAGTAATATAATGTGTTTACAATCATTAAGAGATTTATTTTTCCAAAAAGCATCATGGGTAATCACTTTTAGCAATCTGGAAAATCAATTCTAAATTAAATTAAATTTTATAAGTTCATATTGCACTTAACCAGTTGATTTAACTTATTGGTGGAAAACTTTCTCTAACAATTACTAAAATTACAGATTTAGAAATAAAACATGCCATTAGCTATCCTTTATGTAACATTCCTGCATAATGTTACACTTTGTTTCTTTCCTCTCCCACCTCCTTAAGAAACAGGGATGTTATGTGCTCTTGTTTGAAGGACATGCCTTCTACTGAGCTTCAAAAATACACCTGCATTCAATACAAGTAAGGACCCAAAATTCCAGAGCAAATTTTAATTCCAAAACATTTTTTGGGATAAAAATGTTATATTGTTCAAAGAGTAGAGAACCCCGTAGTACACTTTAGTAAGTTTTGATGCAATTCCTAAAGCTGCAATAGATATGAAATCTATGTCCATCAAGACTTAGATTTTAACTAAATCAAGACTAGTATGCCAGGAGTCTTCACTGTTTAAAAAAGAACGGCCTTAGCATTTTCTTTTGCTGGAAAATAGCTACTTGATGGTAAATTCACAATACTTTCATAGCTGTTTTCTGTACTAGGACAGGAAAGAGTGCTGTCTGACCTTTATGGTTGTTCACCGCCCAATCCAAACTACATAATACCCTGGCTCCTACTAAGAATTTTAGAATAAACAATAAAATAAACAACAACTATTGAGCAAATTAGGGTCTAACTTTTATGGAGCCTATGAGCTGATTTAGTGCTGAAACTAAAAACGGTCTCAAGAGTTTAAATGAACACTTCCATCGTGGAATCACAGCAAATTCAGAACTGGGACTAAGTAACTCCAAATCTTTTTTAAAGCTGACTTCACCCTGGGCAACTTACCATCCCCTGATGCCACTGTTGGAGACAGAACTGCTGGCTGAAAGATCATTTTTATGATTCAATCTGGCTATCAGTTCTTGGTTTATCATCGTGTTTCACTCAGCATTTCACTTCCCTAACTATAGTGGTCACTGTTTATTTTCAAGAGCCCTTAAGTCATTCGATTTCTCCAGCCGTGACCCCTCTTTATCCCACTTAGGACCCCTCATCTCCTTTCCTAACGTCTTTCTTTCGCTAAGATCTTCCTCAAAATTAGATACAACACATGACCTCCAGTCTTCCAATGTTTCGAAAACCCGGTATAAAAACAGTTGATTAGTGCTGTTGTAAGCTTCCCTAGTTTGGAATTTTAAATTGTTTCAGTTTTTCAACTCTTAGTGAACTTTCACCACAAAACTTAAATTTAAAAATATTTTAAATAAAGAAACCACCCCTCTTTACCTTTAGCCCCGCCCATTCCCCCCACCCGCTTCCACGGGAAACTGCAGGAAACCGGAGGGGGCGGGGCGGTGACGTCACGACGCCAGTGCGTCACCGAACGGCGGCGGCTGCGGCGCTGGCGGTGGCTGCGGCAGCGGCGGCATTTTAGTCAGCAGCGGCGGCGGCAGCGGGCCTGTTGCTGCTCCTCCCAGCATCCCTGGCGCGGCCATTTCAGCCCCATCTTGGCCGAGGGGAGGGAGCTGCAGCCGCCGCTTCAGCAGTTTGAATTTCAGTTTCTCTAGGGTTTACGGACCAGGCGCGCTGAAGAGGAACTGAAGAAGCCGCCGCCGCCGCTACCTCATATAGCCGGAGCGCTCGGCTCGCCGGCCAGCTGCCAGCTGCCGCCGCCCCTCACTCCGCGGAGCCGCGAGGAGAGGCCGAGACTGTCGCCGCCGCCCGCCTGCGAGGGAGGCTCCCTGTGAGGGGAGGACCGGCCGGCTCTCCCCTCCCCCGGAGCGGGCTTCCGCTTCAGACGGTCGGCATGTCCCTGGGGCTGAGCTCCGGCTAGAGCCGGGGAGCGAGGGCCGCCCGCCCGCCCGCGCGCAGCCCGCCGGCCCGCCGCTCCTCCCCTCGCTGCGCGTCGGAGCGCCGCCGCCGGCACCGGCTGAGGAGCGCGAGCGGGCAGCGCCGCCCCTCACGCCGCCGCCGCCCCTCCGCCCTCCCACTCCCACCCAGCCTGGGCCTGCGGAGCGCGAGCACCAAGCCGGACTGACCGCGGCGGCCCGCCCCTGGGATCGCGCTCTTGTCGCTGAGGGGACTGAACTGAGGCGCCGCGGCTGCAGGCAGTGTAAAGGAAGGAGGAGCCGCCGTGGGAGACAGGGGCAGAGCCGGAGAACCAGCCCGACGCCCGGGGGAAACGGCGAGGAGGATGTCTCGCCGAGCGGCTGGCGGTCGAATCAGTCCGTGACTCCGCCGAGGCGGGCCTCAGACCCTAGCTCCTAGTCGGACTTTGTCTTTGGGGCCCGGCTCTGCCCTTCCCGGTTTCTCTCAGGACCCGGAGGAGGCGGCGTGCCTCTCTGCCCTCCAGCCTTCTTCACCATGTCCAAGATGCCGGCCAAGAAGAAGAGCTGCTTCCAGATCACCAGTGTCACCACTGCCCAGGTGGCCACGAGCATCACCGAGGACACCGAGAGCCTGGACGACCCGGACGAGTCACGCACAGAGGACGTCTCCTCCGAGATATTCGACGTATCTCGTGCCACAGACTACGGCCCTGAGGAAGTGTGCGAGCGCAGCTCCTCCGAGGAGACACTTAATAACGTTGGGGATGCAGAGACTCCCGGCACCGTCTCCCCAAATCTCCTCCCGGATGGGCACCTCGGTGTCGCCGCGGCCCTCACCAGCGGAGGAGCAGCCGTTCCAACCCGGAGTGTTGCTGCGGGCCTCGCCAATACACAGGCAGCGGCAGCCACGCCAGCACCCGCCCCCGGGGCCCCGGGTGGCCCCCAGAGCTCGGGATCCTCCGCCGGGCCGGGGACTCCAGTTCCGGCTCAGCCCCCCACCGCTTGCAGTTCCCGTTTCCGCGTGATCAAGCTGGACCACGGGAGCGGGGAGCCCTATCGACGCGGCCGATGGACGTGTATGGAATACTATGAGCGGGATTCCGACAGCAGCGTCCTGACGAGGTCCGGGGATTGCATTAGACACAGCAGTACTTTCGACCAGAACGCGGAGCGGGACAGCGGCCTGGGTGCGACCGGAGGGTCGGTGGTGGTGGTGGTGGCCTCCATGCAGGGGGCGCACGGGCCCGACTCGGGAACTGACAGCTCCTTGCCTGCTGTGTCACAGCTACCCCCGTCGGAGAAAATGAGCCAGCCCACTCCGGCCCAGCCGCAGAGTTTTAGCGTTGGGCAGCCGCAGCCGCCGCCGCCGCCCGTAGGTGGGGCTGTGGCTCAGAGCGCGGTTCCGCTGCCGCCGTTCGCGGGAGCAGCGGCCGGGCAGCAGCCAATGATGGCGGTTGTACCGCCTAGCCAGCTGCCGGCAGCCGGGCCCGGCGGCTCCCCCCCGGGACCGGGTGGACCCAGTCTACCGCCGACGAATGTAACCCTGGCGCAGCCGGCTGCGTCCCTACCTCCGCAGCCGGGCCCGGCAGTCGGCGCTCCCGCGACGCAACATTCCCAGCACTTCGCCTACCCCCAGCCTCAGAAACAGCCTGGGCATGTGCTGCCGGGCCAGCCCTCCGGCCAGAGTGAGTACTTGCAGCAGCACGTGGCCGGCTTCCAGCCGCCGAGCTCAGTGCAGCCCTCTTCCACCAGCGCTGGAGCGACAGCCCCTACAGGGGCCAACTTTCCCGTGGGCTCCGGCCAGAATGCCTCTTCGCTAGGTGTACCGATCAGGGGCACGTCTTCCCAGCCCAGTGAAGCTGCGGCTCCGGGACCGGGACTAGTACAAGGCGGGCAGGCCGCGCCTTGTCAGCCGGCTGGGGTGACCCCGGCTGCGGTAGGAGGCGTGGTGCAGCCGGGCATGGCTTCTACCGGGGCTGGACAGCCTCAGTCCTTGCCTCCCCCGCAGATCGGTGGCAGTGCTCAGCTGTCAGCAGTGCCTGGTGGCTCTCACACCGTGGTGCCCGGAGTTCCAAACGTGCCTGCTGCCGTGCCCGCTCCAAGCGTGCCTAGTGTGTCTACTACTTCTGTTACTATGCCAAATGTACCTGCGCCCCTGGCCCAGTCGCAGCCGCTGAGCAGCCATACACCAGTCAGCAGGAGCAGCAGTGTAATCCACCACGCTGGGCTGCCCTTAGCTCAAGGCACACACAGTGCACCAACAAGTCTACCACAGTCTGACTTAAGTCAGTTTCAGACTCAGACCCAACCTTTAGTCGGGCAAGTTGACGATACTAGAAGAAAATCAGAACCCCTACCTCAACCACCACTTTCTCTCATTGCTGAAAAGCCTGTTGTGAAGCCACCTGTTACAGATTCCCTGGCAAACCCTCTTCAGTTAACACCTATGAACAGTCTTGCCACCTCTGTGTTCAGCATAGCTATTCCTGTTGATGGTGATGAAGACAGGTATGGATGTCTTTTTTATTAAAAATTTGATAAGAATGGCCAATTTGGGATGCAATTTTTGCAGATTTTTTTAGTCTTTTTAAATCTAAAACTTAGTTTATGTTTGATAAACATTGCTGAAGTGTAATAAGAGTTTTTGTCTTTTCAAAAGCATTAAAATGGATAAGAATGCACAAAGCTCCTAGCTACTGTGTTACCATAGAGTAGGCCCTTTCTTAAACATACCAGTCATGCTACACTTTTGGTAGTTTTGTTAGTGTATGTGTTAAGGCTAAGATAGGAATTTTTAAAACAATCCTTCCCTCTATGTAAGGGATGCTTTATTAATGATTCAAGTGAGCCCTTTGATTACTTTAAAAAAAAAAAAAAAGGAGAAGAAAAAACCCATATAAGGATCTCCTCCTTTGTATCTGGAGTCTGGAGAGATAAAAGTGTAATGTCAAATCCAGGCTTTGAAGATCATTAATTATGAACTAAGTGTTCAGCTTTTTAGTGGGGTCATGAAGCTTCCTGGTGACTTCTTTAACTTTTTGTATACAAAGCAAAAAATATATTGGAAAGATGTTTTTACTTTCCATACATCTTTATGCTGTGGCAAAGGGAGGTGTGAGATTCTTTCGTAGTACTAAAAACTTAAGTTTTTAAAGATAGCAGTTTATAGTAAAAGTATAAATGTCAGTAGTTGGCTCCCTCTATGTAAGGGATGCTTTATTAATGGTTCAAGTGAAAACTGGTGTTTTGTTATACCGTTAGCTACCACTGTTGATGTTTGACTATAGTTTAAGGAGAATTTTTAGTGATTTTTGAGGAAATACTACATGGAATTTTGATATATATTAAAAATTTCTTAAAGCTCATACGTTATGGTGTTTTTAAAGTTTACAGAGAAATACATTTTTTACAGTCTCATGAACGTACTGAGTTTTTTGAGGAGTTAGTTTTAGGTGTGTTAAACGATCAAAATTACTTTTATGGGTTCTAGAATAATTGGTTTGAAGAAGAATACAATGTGATGTTAAAATTTTTTTCTTCCTGTTTCATAATTTCATTAAATTCCCATTTCTAATTAGCATAATATTTTTGTTAAATGGTGATGTATGAAAAATGCTCAGTAAAATTCAATTATCTGCTTTTTGGATTGCAAGTTCATCTTTTTTTGTAGGTGACTTGCTTGTGGGATTCATGTTTCACTTAAGAACTCTTAAAGAATAACATAAATGAGTTCTGCTAGCTAGTTCTTGAGAAATTTTATGTGGATGTGATCAACTAATCTGATTCCACAAGCCTTTCAAAATATTCCTCATATTTATTTGGTTGTTCCCATTTTCACCCATCGGGACACATTTAAACTTGAAATAAACTTTTTTTTTCTTTATCTTTGCTAATAGTCAACAGGAATAGTCAAACAGAAATCTTCCTTTTTCTAGCAGCTAGAATCCAGTTTTTCCTAGTAAGTTTGTAAATAACCTTTTGCTTACTTTTGTGTTCCTGTACATTGCCCCATATCTTTTCAAGAAATGACTATGGTTTCCCAACCTCTTTTCCTTTCCTTTAACATACATGTCTACAATTGAAAAATACATTTACCCTCCCCCACTACAAACTTCTCTCAGTTTGAGAATGTGTAGTTATATGCCTAGAATCTTAATAGGATGATATGGCATGAAGCAGAGATCTCTTGACGAGTGGAAACTCCAAAATGCATTCTTTAGGTTATAACCTCATTACCACAATGATGCATTTATTTTCCTTTTGTTGTATTAAAAGTTGGTAATCTCATTACAAAACATGTGAATGTTTGAACTGCCAATACTGCTGTATCATTTTTATCCTTTCAGCAGTTCAGCTACAGCATAAGTGTATAGTCCCATTTTAAAGATGGCATTTCTCTCCCTCACCCTAATCTCTTAAAATCTACATTGCTGATCCAATGTGCATCTGCAGTGTTTGTTATGGTCTTTCCTTGGTATTTAATTTAACATGTCAGTTTCCAAGATGTAATCTTACACATTTGACATTTTATCACTAGACCAACACACCTGGTGAAGGAATGAATCCATTAAGTAGAAACAGTATTTTTTTAAAGGAAAAACCTTTGTAAAAGAGAGGACATTTTAAAGTTTGATGCATGAAATTAAATGACACAGTTTTCCAGGCATATATTTAAATTGCCAAGATGAATATGTGACAGGGAACAGTACTAACTAAAAATGTTAATATGGTGATTTTGGGTCTCCTTAAATTAAAATTTGCGAACATTTTATTTGCAGTCATTCAGATGTAAAATAAAATTGCAGTGTGGGATCAAGAGTAATTAATTAAACTTTGTGAATACTTTGACAGAATCATATCCTTATGAAATTTTATAATTAACATGTTTGCTTTTTTAACAAAAATTTAAGATTTTATTAGATAGTATTTTGAGAAATGGAAGGAAAATGGGAGGTTAATAAAAGCTGAAGTGGATTTTACATTGATACATTAAAAATAGCGCATGATTTTGGATCAAATTGGGATCATTTACATTGAGTCTGGCCGTATGTTAATACATCATAATATCATTACATCTTTAAAAGGGCTGATAGTTGTATATGCAAAAAGTTCTCAGTTATCATTGCCTGACCCTGATATCTTTGTAGACATTCCCATTAGTAAGGCATATGGTTAGCTGTTGAAACTTTATCAGATTAATTTTGTATAAGGATGTAACTGAATGATGATTGAAAATACAGTTGTGTGGCCACTTTTATAGTGATCTTTTAAAATTTTGTTTAAAATAGCTACACATTTAGCAGACGCTTTTACTGTAAATAGATACATAAAATTTACTGGCCCTAAAGAGAACACAGTACAGATTGCTTTCCATAGATAACCAAGCAATGTGAACTCAGTAGGCTGCATTCCAGGAACTCATGAATGGCTGCAATTGTGGACTGTCAACTGCAGTCCAAGACTGTTGAAAACCTGATTGTAAAGATCCCTTAGTGGCATATATATCTCTTAACCTTGTTAATGGTTTTATTTATGTAGTTTGTTAACGGCTACTGATAAAATACTATAAATTGTGAATGCTAAATGATGTACTCTAGCATGTACTGGAAATACAATTTTATACATATAATTTTTTTTAAGGAAGGGTTTTTTGTTTGTTTTTAACTTGAAGTTTGAGAGGATCATGTCTTCCAAGAGGCAGAACTGTCAACCAAGAAGCACTTTTTAGAACTATCTTACGTTTAAGTCTAAAATTGTGGAAATCATTTTGCTTCTCTGTGTTTATAACTAATGTGTAAATCACACACTAGATATATTATTCAAGTCCTGGGACTTCAGGAGTTACAGTTAAAGGTATAGTACTTGGCTAGCATGTTAGTTCCCTGGATTCAATCCTCAGTAATGGAAAAAAAAGAAAGAAAAGAAAAGAAAAAGATCACAATTTGGAAATGATGTGATACTGGATTTATAGATCTGCTACTTGGGCATTTGGATGGAATAGAGTTTATCTTTTCTCTGTACTAGAGAAATTGGAAGTAATCATGTTCTATAATCACTACCACTAGGGAATAGTAGCCTCACCAAGGTAATGGTAAAAAAAAAAACAAGTAAATCTCTTTCCTAATAGAGGAATAGGTTAGGAGAATATAAAGGAAGTTTGACTTTTTTCCCACTAAAATGGAAATAATCATGATGGAAGAAAATATAGTAAGATTCACCTAAAATACGGTCTTAAAGGATAGGATCGCCCGGGGAGATAGCTCAGTAGAATAAGTGCTTACCTGGCAAGCACAGAGTCCTGAGTTCAATCCCTGGAACTGGAAAAAAAAAAATAATAATAATAATAATAAATAAGAAAAGGGATAGGAACACTTGTAAATGATGAGAAATAATCTAATTTATTGCTTTAATAGGTTGTTTTAGATCAGTATATCATTTTGTGGAGATGTATATATACTCTATTTCTTAGTTGAATTACTCTTTAAATACTTAATTCTGTGGAAGAAGATGCTTTAGCCAAAAAAAAAAAAAAAAAAAACTGGTTAAAGGTAGCTTGAATGATGTTATCTGCTTAACTCCTTATACATTAGAAGAGCAGATTTTTAAAAATAAGAAACCTTAATAGTTGACAGTATTAATGGGGAATATTACTGCAAAACAATAGAATTGAAAACAAATCCTAAGCTTATAGTAAATGCAACCAGTGGGCTGTGAGTTAGGGCTGTCATTTTAGAGTATACAATACTAATTACTGCATCCACAAAGAATATGCACATCTGAATCATTGACTTAGTGTCTTTCCCACAACAAACCTTTGACATACCAAATTACACAGTATATGCTCTCATCTTCATCAGGCATTGTTTAGGGCCTGGTAGATCTCTCCCATTAAAATTTAGGATGTATAGCCATTTTGTTTCAGTCCTATCCATCATTCCATGGCACCAATCAATAAATGTACTATACATGTTGTAAACTTGGCTGTTTATATTTAGGGTATATTATTTGACAACTTTAGCTTTAAAATATCTACAAAATCTCTTAATTTTAAATTAGGTGAATTAACTTGCATATGTGCTTCTCAGGACCCTCTCATATTTAAAACCCCAAATCAGACTTAAGTATGTAGTCTTACATTTCTTCAAACTCATGTCAATAATTGTTTTTAAACAAAAGAATGAGCACTCATCTTCCTAGTTGTACCACTATATCAAGTGTTCGATTCAACTAGCAGTTGAATGTAAGCTAGTTGTTTAAGCCTGTAAATCTTGTTTCCTTTTGTGAATAGGATAATACCTAGTTTGGAGAGTTGAGAAGTATTAGGTTTGCAAGTAATATCTGAATAATCAATGATGTAAGACAATTTGCATGGCAGGCATACATCACAGAAATGTGAATATAGTATTTCAGTGTCTAAGCTACTTTATCATGCAGTCCCTTATACTACAAATTATTCTGAGAGTTTTCAATTTTATGTGCAATATAATTGTATAGTATGGACGTACAGA